TAAACCAGGACTCCCATCCCTTAAAAATGTAGTTTTTTAATGAACACCCTTTAAAAAGTGAACAGAATGAATATCTCTTGGTCTTGATTGTAGGTTACATTCACAAACTTTATTATTTTATTTTTTTCTCAGTAGTAGTAGTAATGTTATTTTATTACGATCACTGATTTTAACATTATCTTATGTTTTTCCTTTATGATTTTTGTGCCTTTTTTTGTCTTTGTCGTACACCCAATTCTAACACTTGTATTTTTTATTTAATACATCACAATTTAACAAAAGAGAGAAATAATAATAATAATTTAACACTGGCAGATTTTCTATATATTTTTTTTCTTCCAAAGACGTGCTACCCAATGAATGCATCTACGTTTTTGATTTAGGAAATTTGATCACAGTTGTATGGACGTATGTATTATTTGGTTTTCTGTAGTTCTGACCCAGACTCTGTTTCATGCTGCAATGTTGTTTATTATAAAGTCATTTAACTCAATGTGATTGATCATAATTAAATTGTGTGATGATTCTTAGCATTCCTTGCACATTTGTTGAAGCTCTTCTGGCTTCATTGTATTAATTCATCTTTTTTTGCAGACATTTGGGAGCATCCCATTGTACACCTTGCAGTCTGGCTGAAGTAAGTAATGAGCTTAGCGCTAAGCTATGCATATCAGTTCAGTTATTTTCTCTTATTGTTAGTATTGAGATAATACTTTACATGTTTAAAAAGAAACACTGAACTGCTCTGCCCTGTCAATTCTTTTGACCTCTCATTTGGACACATTTCAGATGTAATAACAACATTAACAGAGCACAAAAACCCGAATGTGTGGAATAGCAGCCCTTATGTAAACTCATGTCAATCAGCAATCCATACATTATCATTATATTGAACAATTGAAAACATGATACAGTGACCACTCACTGGATCAGATCAATGTGGCTGTCGCTTCCAGTATGTGCTCATAGCCACACCCATTTCAACGTTTTTACTATACGATTGATTTATGGAGATTCAGTCTGCACAGACATATCGATTCAAATCGGACAGCTTGGACGAAATATGGCGATTCTGCATTTTAGTAGACCTGAATGCACGCGGTGCATTTTGTACAAACTCGGGAGTTGTAAATGGGGACAAATACACACAAAACACCTTTTAAAGGAAAACAGTTAAAGGTCAAGGCTAATGAGAGCTTCAGCAGCTGTGAACCTGCCAGTATAGAGAAATTTACATGGGTTAGAAACCGGGGAAGTGTGAGTGTGCTTCTGAACACGGAGTGGTGCAATTGAAAGGATCCTAGCAAAATAAAACTCAGACCACTGGCAGCCATTAGCCTGATTGGCCTGAGAGGTCAGGAGAGGTGAATTGATGGGTTAGTCATGTTGTCGATTTGATGACCTAACCCTGCTGGCTCGGCCAACAGGGGGCTGGATGCTGGACACACTCATTCTCCCTACCTTCATTTGAGTTATTGCACACATGCCAAGAATACTATACATTAACACAGAAAAATCTATCAGATCACTTACGCTGATTTATGTCCGGACCGAACCACGCTGTCAAACCTCTGGACCAACTCATGTCAACATTTTCATACAGAAAGATTTGTGCTGCAAATTATTTCTGTGTGGTAAAATATGACTGACTGCTGGATGGTTCATTTTTTCCAAATCAAATCAAATCAAATCAACCTCTGACTTTGCCTGCTTATTTCTTTAAGACTGGTGGTTCTTGCTTCTTCGTGTTGTGTTTCACTGGCCCTACTTGTGAGACCTACTTGTGAGCTGAACCAAAACGTGGCCTAGATTGAAAGCCCGAGATAAACGCATTGGTTTTCTGGACCGGTCTTCTAATTCTGTAACAAAGAGCCAGGCGAGCTGTGTATTCCTACCTGTGCCCCATTAATGATAAATAAAGTACAAAAGTACCCCCCGCTCACATAGCAGCCATCTAACAACCTCTTCAGCCACCAAAGAGAGATGCCGTCACTATTTTACCCAACGTAGAATCCTTAGATAAAAAGTGGAAGAGGTCAGTGTCCGTCATGTACAGTCAGAAGGATGAGAGAAGCAAAACAATGTCCAAAGCTCTCTGGAGCAAAGGACTTGCAATTTTGGATGATCAGATCACCACAACATTCATTCTGTGGGTTTGTTCCTCTTCCAAAGACCTTGAAAACCATGTTAGGATATGTTAAATAAAATATGGCAGCCTCCGCAGAACTGTGTAAAGTTTTACTCCATGGTGAAATGGCAATTCAACAGTTTGATTCCAGCATGTTAGACCATCAATACATATTAAAGTTACAGGACATAAGCCCTGAGGGTTTGGGATCTACAGAGTGAGGTGAGCCAAAGACAGAAAAGCATATTATTCAGTGTTCAAACTTAAAATCTGTAAGTGAATCGTAATAAAATGTCGTTATTAATATGTAGATAATTTGCAGCATATTAGTGGGAAAAGATGCTGTATACTCACTGGGGGCCTGGTTCCTGTTGCATCTTGAAACAGGGAAGCATTGAATCTAACAATAAAACTCTTTGAAGATTACAATATTGGTCTATTTTATTATATTATCAAACAAAATGTGTTGCATTAGTCGCTCAGTTCTACACAAACTGCACAGATAGGAACCACCTGGCTAGCTGTATTCTTCTACGCAATTTGTTTCTTCTTCACTTCTGCCTGTAGCTCCAGATGGGGTCTCTAAACGTCTGATTGATCCCTGCTGTGCCTCATATTTCCCTACGCTGCTTGACAGGAGATTACTGCTGTCAATTAATGTTTATGGGATTCCTACAAATCCACTTTACAGTCTGGCTCTCATGAGCCTTAAAGGCATGGATAGTTTTTATTTGCATTCAACTTCCCTTTGCAGTATTTCACATTTTCCCTCTAACTCATTTCTGCGACAAACAAACAGCGATGCTCGCTGCCAACCTGGAAAACAAGCAAGCAAAATGAAGTGGTGAAACAAAAATCAGGTTGAGGATATCAGTCTTCTAGGTTTTTACAATAGGTGTCCAGATCAAATGTCCAGCTTCACACTCAGCCACCGCCCGCCCCCTTCGGCCTGCAGGTTTGCGGTTACCTCCAACTCCTCCAATATTAAACACAGACATCTTTTATTTGCGACTTGTTCCTATCTTACATGCAAGCAAACACTTGTGTTTACTGGTGTGATGTGAATGCGTGTGTGTGTGTGTGTGAGGTAAAGACGGTTACCACTGCAAACATTACGAAGTGTAAATGTTAATACTGCACACAAGAAAGGGATGAATGATGACAGGATTAATAGGATTAACAAGGAAACGCATTAAACGGTGGATTGAAAAGTTTTGATGGTCCAACTTTTCCACAGCGATACTTTGTGTAACCTTTAATGTGTTTTACAGGGGTTTTATGTGAAAAAAAGAACAAAACAAAGGAGCGCACGGTGAATAAATGAAAATGTGTTTCTAATTCTGTGTAGAAAGCACATTTACTGCCATTACAGCTGCAAGTCTGTTGGGATATGCCTCTACCAATATACGTCTATTCTTCTTTGCAAAACATTTCAAGCTCAGAATGGAGTGTCAGTAAACAGCAGACTCAAAGGGATTCAGATTTGGACTTTGACTGGGTCTTCTTAACACTTGAATATGCTTTGGCCAAACCATATTAGAGACAAAACTCTGGGCTGTTTGGTGCTTCAGTTCTTCTTGTTGGGATGACATCTTCATGGAGCATTCTTGCTGTTTTTCCAACCGGGAACCGTAAAAAGTCCTTCATTCAAGCAGAAGAAAAATGAACCATCTATCCACAGTGGAGATGTTTTGTTTAGGGTGATTTGTTGAGAGCGTTGGTCCTCTGCCAACAGTGTCTTGCATGTTGGCCAAAAAGTAAAATGTTTTGTCTAATCTCAACAGAGCACCTTCTATATGTTTTCTGTGTCCTTTATGTAAATGGTCACAAACTGCAATTGGGAGTTCTTACAACTTTTTTTATTTATTTTTTTTTTTTTACAACAGTTACTTTTTTGTTTATGAATTCCTTGTTTATGGTTATGCTGTTTATTTATTGCTCTCTTACATACAGTTGGATAGTTGGATTTTATTTACTAATATTAGGTGAGTATATTTATTTTTTACATAGTCTAAAAATATCTCTGAGACTATTCAGGATTTTATTTACAATAAAACATTTTTTTTAAATAATTTATTATTATGTTTTTTTTTTTTTTCCATGTTGCAATTGTTTTTATCATATTCAGCGAAAACCACAATTTCAAATGGCTCAAACGGTTTCTCTTGATGGACATGTGATTGTTACCAACATGACAATTAGTAAGGCTACAATTCCCTGCAAGCAAAATTATTTAATATGAGTGAGCTGCTGCACAGTTTGTGGTGGCTTTTCCTCCCCAGGTGGGGTTTTGTCTCAGTCAGCTCGGTACAAAGAGCGTTTAGCCTCCTCCTGAATAATCCAGTGAGAGCTGTCCGAGCAGATGGGGACCCAGGGTTCGAAACCTGAGAGTGACATTTGACACAGCCACACACAGAGAAGACTTTAGGACTGGGTGATTTCAGCTACTTGGTGGAGGCAATGTGGCTTCTGGACATGTCATTTAACCCCCAGCTTTCTTTACTCTCATCCCTTGTTCTTTTCTTAATGCTTAAATACGTCAGTGTGTTTAATGGCTGGACTGGACATTCACCGTCACCTGCTTTAAAAAGGAGCTCAAGAATTTGTGGGTTTTTATTTTATTTTATTTGGATTCATCCCCCATTGATGTGCTATTTCTAGGTTTGATGTGATAGACTTCCACCTCATAAAACTGTGGAAGGCAAATGGTATTTGGTTTTCAAAATATTTGAACTTCTTAACACAGGCCACCCTGACTGAAAGAAAATCGGTTAATGCTGCAAGGCCCAAGGAATATGGCCAGAGTGACAACTGAATGATTTTTGATCAATGCAAATTCCCACTTTTGAATGGCCCAGTCAAAGTCCAGGACAAAATTCTGTCTGTTACAAAACTTAACATTTGCTGTTCAGAGACTCTATAGCCAATCAGACTGAGATTGAGCTATACTGAAAAGAATTAGGACATTTCCACAGCTTGCAGGATTGTAGAGGTTCTAAAATAGTAGCAGATGTTATAACATTGGAAGGTGGCTCTAAAAAGCAACGATTTAGAGTGTTTTAACCAATATGGATGACACAGTTTTCATATTATTTCATACATATAAAAAAACATTCTCAAAAGAACATCTTTTTTCCATCCCTCATTAGATGTCGTCTTTTCAAAATGTATTAAAATTGTGGTTTTAACACTAGGAACACAGAACGCCTTAACAAAAGTTTCCATATCCCCTGAAGTGTTTCACATTTTTTCATGTTAAAATTAGTTATGCAAAATATTTCAGCAGAACTTTAATGTAATAAAGTGATAAAAGAAGCTCTCATAGCTTATCAAACTTAGACCTTAGACCCCCCGCCCCCCCACATCAGAAGTAGACTGCATGCATTTTTTCACATCCCAGCAGTCAAGCATTTGCTGTCACTGTACAGTATATTTCCCGGTAACCTCTGTGAGTCGCCCCGAATGTGGTGCTCAGTAACTTATTGCCCTGTCCCTAACCTTTCTGGGCAGAGAGAGCATCCATCATGGTAAAGTGCGATCCATTGCGGCCCACCTTCAGGGCTGAGCCAGCATGTGTGTTTGTGTGTGCGTGCAAGTAGAACTTATGAGCTGTCAACACTAAGTGCAGAGCCTTGCTGGAAGCCGACTACTGCTGGATGACTGACAGTGACATTGCACCGTAATGCTCCCTGTATGTGTGTCCACGTGTTTGTGTGCTCCCTGTGTGTAATTGTGCATTATACTTTCCCTCAGTATTCCTGTGACTGCAGCGATGGAGTCATTTTCATGGTTTTGGCTGCTACGCCTCAAGTGGACATGAGTTGCGCAGAGACACTATTTGTCATTGTGATGATGATCACTGTCACAGAGCCCTGTGACTTTTGCATATTAAAGGGGCCATTATTAAAGCTCTCGTCATTTTGCAACACTGCTCTTTACGTCTTAATAGACTCTGCACAGTCTCATATTTTACACCCCTACGCGCATTAATATTCTCCTTGGCGAGATCAAAAGCCATAAAGAAATCCAACTTTGTTGTTAAAAATCCCCTGGGTGATGTCCCTGTTTAACAAGGCTCCTCCTCCTTTACCTACCACATTTCCCTCAGTTTTTACTCATTTTCAGATATTCTCGTCTCTCGTCTGGCCCTCAAAGCGCTACGGTTGCATCCCCAACCCTTTCCGTCCCTGCCACCCCTCCTTTTTCCCATCAGCACCCGGGAACTGATGAATGCGTGGCCTCCTATTGATCGCGATGGGTGATGGATGATGGCTGGGAGATGAGTGATGGGGTGCAGGCAAAGGTGCCAATAAGGGGGCAGCCGAAGGGTGGGGTCTCCCCTACTGGTGCTAATGGGAGAAGACTTGGAGAGACGGCCGCCGTGGCAGCCGCCAGGCCCCGCCTTCTCAACCCCAGCCATTTGAGGCGTAGTGTTTTCAGCTCATTCATTCACATGCACACACTGATCCCACAGGTCACACTTTTCTGTTTTTATTTTATTTATTTATTTATTTTTTTTTGTGGTGGGGGGCAGCTTTGGATTTCATCTGTCTGTGCTTCATACAACTTTAAGAGGTTGCGGAGGGTGTTGTGAGAGTGGAAAAAGAAAAAGGAAAAGGGAAGGCCTCAGCTTATATGTGTGTGGGTGGGAGGAAGGCGGGGTGGAGGGCGCAAGTGGTGGTTAGCACGAAAAGATGATGGATGATGGGGCAGGAGGGGAAGACTGCTTCTTAGCTCCAAATTGATATCCCAGCAAATGTTTTTGTCTGCTGTGAAAAATGGTGCCGCAAAACTCTCATCTCGGCTGCGCCCTGGTCCTCCCCTCCGCCTTCCCCTTCTCTCATCCCCTCTACCAGCTCCTCTCTCTGCCGTGAATAACGCCTCGCAATCCATTTCCTGCAGCACAACCTTTTTCTCGTCGCACTCCAGTTCTCTGACAGCGGCCTGATCACGGCTTCATCCTCACGGCTTTCTGCTCACTTTGAGCAGGCTACCTGACTTTCACAGTTGCCATGGAAACCTGGTCTGGATTACTGCTCAGCGTTGCTCATCCCTTATCGCATTCTTAGCCTTCTCCACTCCTGGCAAAGCATTTAGAGAAAACCACCCATCAGACCCAGGCTATCAATTGCAGGTTGTTGTTGCTGTTGCAACTTGGGGAGGAATGAATGAAAAAAAGTGAAAGTCCTCCAGGGAGTGGGAGGCTGGGCCTCTAATTGAGTGGGATGATGTGGAAGTTGGAAAAAAAAAAAAAAAAAAAAAAAAAAAAAAGAGGGCAAGATTTAGAAAAGCTGCATCTTCATTTAAAGATCCATATGTTTAAATAAAAACACATTTTGGAACCAATTTTTAGAACTAAATGAAGAGAGAAAAAGAGTTAAAAGCAGAACATCATATTGTGAAACTGTGTTCATCCTTTCTATGCAGTTGATGAAGGCTCTTACCATCAATTATTTTGTGCCTACCTAATCCTGAAAGGGCCGCGGCGGGCTGGAGTGTAACTGCAGCAACAAGAGTTGGGGTACACACCACAGAGAAAGCCAGAGTGCGCACGTTTCACCGAAAGAGATATTAAGATTGGACTGTTGGAATAGCGTGCATATTTTTCAGTTGGATTGGTGGAAGTGGACAGTGAGAACCTTCACACAGAAAAGACCTGTCCAGGATTCAAACCCAGGACCTTCCTCCAGCTAACAACTGTGCCACCATGAGACCCATGAACTCCTTTTGCAAAAGGTATTTGAACATGAAAAACAAAATGACATAAAAAAAATATCTTTTGGGAAATTCTTTCAGGAATAACATATGCATTCCTTAAGCAACTCTCTCAAAACAAAACTATAAATTTGAATGTTTAGCAGAGGAAAATTTGCAGAAGAAAAACCCGAAATCTCCGCAAAAACCTTTTTTTTTTACACTATCTGTTAAAAGTGAGCAGCCTTCTGATTTATTTGTGAAATATGTTGAAAGATATATTACATTAAATATGAAGTATTTTAATCTGTTTGTGTTTATTATTATGTTTGGTTTTTACTTTATTTTGCGCAGTAGTTCCTTTTCTCTCACTTATGGATTATTGGATTTATAATCAGCACACCTTCTCTTTTCTATTATCCAGAACATGGTCTTGGATTTCCCTTTTAATTGTTTAATCCTTTATTTTATTTGATTTTTTACACATTCTGTTAATTTTCAATTTACCTTTTTTTTTTTTACCCAAATGACATGCTCATCTTCTCTCTTCCCCCTGGATTTGTACCTGCTTTAGGTTTACCAAGATCCTATACGTCTTATTGTTTGGTGTTTGTTTCTTATAGCCATATGTTATAATGATTACTTGATGTTATATTTAGTTTAGAGTAAGTCTTTCTTTTGAAAAGCAATGCAAAATAACCACGTTTCATCACTTGAAAGCTTCTGCAATTCTGTTTTATAAGTGAGCCCCAGCTCCATGCTTCGTTCACTTTAATGAATGTATAAGTTCTTAATTAGGCGCTCACTGGAGGATACTTTAGCATCCCATCGGATATAATCTGTCTCTGTTAATGCAGGTAATTTGCTTCTTTTTATATTTAGCATGGGATATTTGCATTCAGTTTATTTTGTTGTTTACTGTCCTGTTGCTTATTAGTACTGATGCACTGAAAAAACAAATATTTTTGTCTGGTTTCTCGTGAACATTTCTTGCACTATGAATGGCACCGTGTTCTCGTTCATATTTAAAGTTCACAAATGAACTAAACAACTATTAAAGGTATTCCAGATCAGATGTTCTCTCCTCTGCAGAGCAGCAAACTTGTTTTTGCTAAAATGTATTGAAAGAATTAGTTTGTGAGGAAAACAAAAATTAGGTGGTGCAGTCAGGAATTAAAGATAAAGCCATTTCTTTTTCCCCCCTGGTCTATTTTAATTAAGTTCAACATTTCTAACACCACCAATAATTTATGTTTGAAATTCATTCTGACAAAGTACAGTACAATCTGGATCTCAGGGTAAATACATTATTTGAAGGACTGGTTGTTAGAAGAAAACTATGAGAATGTTAAGAGACAACAGGGAGAACACCAAGATAGAGACAGAGAGAGATAGAGAGAGAGAGAGAGAGAGAGAGAGAGAGAGATCTCTGGAGAGAGAGAGAGATAGAGGGGCGAGGTCTTAAGGAGAGAATCTTCTGCAGGAGAAATTGTGTCTCAGATTAAGAGTGAGGCGATGCTCCAGTGGAGAGGATTAGGTCTGCAAAACAGAAGCAACTCTTGCAGAGGACAATTCGGCGACATGAAAAACGCACTGCCACGTGCCCACCCAGAAATTCACATGTAGCAAAATTCAAGAAAGGGGAGGGAAAAAAAAGACACCAATGTAAAGCAACAAGAGAGTTCAATACATAAACCCTTCAAGGTACATTGGAAACTCTGGAGCAAAAGCACATCCTGCTTCTGGAAGTATTTAATTATGTTATTGCAATCATTCAGAAAACAAAAACAACAACAACAAAACAAACAAACAAAAAAAAACAGAAGAATTGCTAAATGCAGAAATGTTTTGTATAAATTGTCATGAAATGTAGAAAAAATAAAGAACAGGATAAGATGCCTTAACAAAACTTAAATTTGAGGTTGACATCCTGCTCTCCTTGGCTCTATAATCCCCATTCTCTGACTGGGCTGCTCAGTATACGCACCAAGAGCCTTACTCCCATAAGACCAATCTCTCTGACATCTGGGCCACTGCCTTTCTCTGGGCTCTAGACAGATGTTTGGATGATTGTTAAGCTCCCAGGGTTCTTAAGAGAGAGGAAGTGAGAGTTGCTCTTGGTTTGACAGCACTCTCAGAACAGCTCTGTGGCAATCACTCATGTAATCACGATGTAGGGTTTGTACAGATGGGGTTCTTTACAGTAGTTTCAAATCCAAAGGCACTCGAGTCACCCAGACCACTAGTATCACTCTGTTTCCAACAGTTAATTTTCTTTGTATTCAAACTGAGAGAGTCGATTCATTTCCATCTTTCACGTTACACGTTTGAGACCAAAACCCCGACCACTGTTCATCCTATATACTATGCAGCTGGTGGCAGGCGAACAAAACAAAATTTAGCAACAGCTCTTTACTTTGACTAACTTTTCATTCTGTCTGGTTCAGCTTATCAGTTCTGTTTACACAAACACATTATCCAAAACTGATCACCTGACTAAATATGAATTTTATTTATGTCCAGCCCTAAGTAGAACAGCCTATATAACAAGAGCTGTAAGAACATATTTGCCTCCTGATAGATTTTTTTTTTTCCCCAAAGACATAACCTTAGTTAATGCAGAATGCTTTTTCCAAATGATGACTCAGTGTATCAAGGTAGAAATCTCTCCAAACAAACCTGGTCCTATGAAAAACAAATTGCCCCCAAACCTAGAGACTACTCATGCCACCCTCAGCAACAACATCAAGCTTTTATGCTAACAGCAACATGTCTTTTTCATCCTCGTTGGAGTGTTTTTTTGCCAATGACTGTTTGCACAGATGCTTAAATACATTGGAGAGTTTGGCCTGGCTACAGCAACCCCATGAGATTTAATTCCAGACATTGACTATGCCACTTCAAAGCTTTTATTTTGTTTCGTTTGTTTAAACATTCAGAGATTGCTGATGTTGGTGTGTGTCAGATAATTATCCTGCTGCACACTCCAGCTCAAATTACCACTTCTTACATTTTCGGTCCAGCAATCCGCAAAAAAGTGGACACAAAAAAACACCACTCAGATTGTGTCTGTGTAATCCTTAACCTGTTATATTTTGCATGCCGATGTTTTCTAGATCACATATTCTCCATTTTATACACACCAGTATATGTGTTTTCCATTTTTGTTGAATACATTTTCTCCTGTTTTTTTTTTTTTTTAGTTTGTTCAAAAGAACAGTGTTACCTACAGACCGACATTCCTCACCTCATTCATAGATCGAACATCCACAATTCAATTTAATCATGTTCTTTGGACCTAATTCTTCTCGGATAACCACACTTTTTAAATGCTTTGTCAATGGCTGCCAGCGGACGCAGGTAGCAGTCTTATATTAAGGTGAAATGTTGGTGTCCTGAGCCCACCTTTTTTACCCAATAATGTCCAGTTGTCTCCATATAATGATTATGATGTAGTTTGATTGGTGGATTAAACACTTATCCCTCCCCTCTACCCACCTTATTGATTTTTCTCCCCCCCAGCGTGCCTCAGCTACCCACCCACCCCCCTTAAAGGTGAGGTGGATTCATGGCCTGATAAATAGCAGAGGATTGATTCGTATTTAATTAACAATTTGTAGGAGACTCTCTCTCTCTTTCACCTCTCTACTCCCTATTCCACCCCTCTCTTCCTCCCTCTATAAGGTCTCGGACGGCTTGTGAGACAAGCAATGAGCAGAGGAAAGGTGATGCATGGATAATTTATAGTCTGATCGATAAGTCCTGGCCTAACATCTACAACGCCTGAATATGGGGGCCGGAAGGAGTGTCAGGGTCCACAAATGGGGAAGAGGGTGAACAGCAAAGAAGACAACAGTGACAAAAACTGGGAAGACTGATCAAGTGTCGCAGTGAGTGAAAAGGCAGAACAGTGCAGACAAAAACATCCCCCCCCCCACCCTGAAATTTAAAGGAAACAATGGCTTGCATCCTGTTTGTAAAAACTTTCCTCCTGCAGGGCAACACTGCTACCAACTGTACCTCCATGCAGCCTGCAGGCAGCATGCTGTCGTAAAATCGGGACACTGTCCATGACAAACTGGTACAAGATGTCTTTGAAAGTGAGGAGAGAGTAGAGAGTCAACTTTTAAAATGTTTTAAAAATATTCAAAGTATTCTAATAATACAAAATATGTAAAATGTGTTGTTGTTCTTTTTTTTTCAAAAATGATTTACAAAAAAATTAACTGCTGATTGGCATTTATGAAATCTGTGTCGTCATTAATTTTAACTTTGAAATGCAAGCCTCGGATATTTAATCTTTGCTGTGTAGTGATCTAAAAAGCCGTCTGCGTTCTGAAATAATATTGTGGCAACTTATGAGTGTGGTGAGGGATTTAAAACAGTCTCAAATTTGAAATGAGCCACGTCTTCTGCTTGCAGATGGAAAACAGACTTCTCAAGGTGAGGACGAAAATAAAGCATACTAGTAGAAAACGATAATCACAATTTGTTCATCTTTCTTTACATAATTAACTGCATTTACTGTCTAATTCTCGTGATATTCCTAACTGAATTACACATTTACTCTTCTGACAGCTCGAGGTGCAAGTATTGTTTTTCTGCAACGCATCCATTAGAGGGCAGTGCTGAGACCACATTCACCATGTGCCCCGCTCGGTACTCCATGGAAAGTCCTGTGAAGACAAACGTGGCATGTCTTCCATTA